ACACACACACACACACACACACACACACACACACACACACACACACATACAGTAATGAGTTTATGGTACAGAACTTTACACTTAGACATTTTCACATCTTTGTTGTCTGCATAAATGTGATTTGTGAACAGTTTGTCATATGAAAGACTGATGGTAAATCTCATCAGTGCTGTGCACCAACTCATACAGGTGCAAACACAGCTGTTCACCACTAAGCAGACCTGTTTTTATACCCTGTAGCTTTGAGTATGTTGCCAGAGCATCTTATTTTCCCTCAGTTGCCTTCAATGCCGCCAATCTGCATTAGTGAATGAATATACAAAATGAATCGAAAGCCTCCTTTCACCAAACGTGAAATAGCTGTCTCCCAAATAACATCACATCACCGCTGCACCACATGCACGCCAGATTTATTTTTACAAGGCACGAGCCAGATTTTTTGATAGTTTTAAAAGGAGTGGCATAGATTTACTGCATCCACAACAAATGTCTATGTATTCCTTTATGAGTTCTTTAGCTATTACTCACAAGGAGCTAGTTTGTCAGTGCTGTGTGTGCTCTTTCTGTGCTCTGTACTCCCGCAGTAATGAATGGTGCTGGTTAGACTATTCTGTCTCCGTCAGGCTTTTGGGGGGCCTACAGAGGAGCTCCTATAGGGTTTCATTAATCTGGCTGTCAGAAAGTATATGGGTGCTATCTTTTGTACAGGTCATGGTGGGCAGCTGTGTTACCACTGCCCTCTTCCTTGTTCTGGCTCTTCATCCCCTGACAGGGCAGTCCACAGGATGGTTGGCTGGCTGATTTGGTGGGTGGGCGCGTGGGTGAAGCGAGACACAGAGGGCATAATGCATGGCAGGGGGCTTTTACTGTCTGCTCATAAGCCTGCTCTGTATCAATGAATAAAAATGTTGTTCTACGCCAACTGGGATAGTCAGGGAATTCCAGGAATTCTCAGGAAATCTCTTGTTATGTGATTTAGAAGTAGGCAAAAAAAAACTGCACATAATCTGGGACATCAACAGATATGTAAAACACCACACACTGTATGAGGTATAAAGGTGTGTGTAACATTAAATACCTATTTCATGAGGTGAATAGTGTGAATGAATAACATTTTTATTATGTGTCATGCATGCAACAATGCATGATGCGAGGAATGAGAATAAACACTATTTGAATAACCCATCTCTACTTCTTAGTTATCGAACTATAGCTAAACTTTACCTCTTCAAAATTAAACAGCCATTCTGATTTTTGATCATCTGAACACCAGAATATTTCAGGAGTTTGTTCTCCCATGCCATGGAAAATTGCTACTCTTATATAATCACATTATGAACTGTATAAAAGAAAAAAAAACATGTTTAACATCTGACTTTCATGTGATGTAGAGTTAGTATGATCACAATGCCCACTAGTGTTTTTCTACTCTCTTATAGATAATCTTTATTTTAGGTTACATTAGATTGGTCACTGTAACTGTTGGTTGCAGGCTCATGCAGCAATGTGTGGTGCATTCAGCTTTCAGCTCAACCATCCACATAAATTATTAATGCTTTTTAACTGCTGTTAAAAAGAAATATGAAATATGCACTTCTGATCTATAAATTTCATTCCAGTGTCAGCGCTCCATGGATTTACACTATTGCCCATCCATCCTAGCTGACAATATGCTGCAACTACAAAGTGAAAAGATTACACTTCCACCCTCCTGTAGATTAAATACTGAAATACAGAGTCCTTAGTCTGACTGCAGTAAAAATAACTGTAACCATGTTTGATATCGTCAGATCCGAAATCATCCAGAATGCACAGCTCCGATGGCTGGTTTAATTGTGTATGTGTCACTTTTTTTCTTTTTCTTTTATTGGCTGTGCTAAATCACACCTGCTCCTTCTTCGCGTACGCGCGGCCACACCTAAGAGGTGCTACTGTGACACGATGCTTAAAAACAATCAAGCCCTCTCTCAATCTGCACCAAAACGAGCCTAATCCACTCTGACAGAGAAACACCTGATGGCCCTGCATACCACTCCAGTCTCCAACAATTCCTACATAACCTAGTACACACACACACACACACATACGATGAAGGTTTTATGCCTCCGTCTTATGCTTAGTTAATCAGAGGAATACCACTTTAACAAATATGAAGTGGATCTGGTGTATGCTAATATCCTCCGCTCACTTTCTCCCTGTCAGATATGATTAGGTCAGGCCGGTTTCCTTACATTGATCTCAGTGCAGAGCAGACAGGCTGCTCACACCAGCCGTGGCTGCAGGCGCGCTAGCTCTTTATCTGTTTGGTTTGGTATATTTTCATGACTGATTCAGGTTGCTATGGACCATAGGCAGCAGCAGGTGGCTCAGACTTGCTGTCAGACATTTTTATCTTGAAAGCCTTTATTTACATTAAATCTGTTAGTAGTCTTTGATTCAGGTTGTGTTTAGTTTGGGTTGCTCTTTTATTAAGTGCCTTACTCATGCTTTCAGCTAGCTGGCCATGGCAGATATGTGGCACACATGCATTGCTAAATAGTTATGTTTATTACCTTATTTGACAGGGACAGCGCACATTAATAACATTTCTAAAGATATGCCAGGCTAATTTTCATCTGTTGTCTCGGGGCAGGCAGTTGTTAAAATCACAGATGTTGGGAATAAAAGTGTTGGAAATACAATCGATAAAAGCGGTTAAAAAACAGAGACAGGACTTAAAACACACAGAATCAACAGATAGCATGATAAAACAATGTTAGGCCCGGTGAAGTGTGGGTATTGTGTACAGTAACTATGGCAGGAGCTTGTTATAGTCACTGTTCAGCTCTTACACAAGGGATAAACCGATACCGATACTGGGCCGATATGGACTTGATTAGCTGGATCGGGTATCAGTGACAACGAAGCCGATCAATTCAATTCTATGTTTATATACCATATACTATATGCTATATATTTGTATACCGGATTTTGTTGCTGCTTTTAAAAATGTACACTTGAATTGTAATTCATGTTAATGTTAAATATGTTTTGCCAAGTTGCTGGTGTACAATTTATTATTTTGATAAATTTACATCTTTGCATTTACTTCCTACATTTTTTTACAAAGTTAAGAAATCAATGTTTAAGTTGAGTTTGATGTTTCTTTACACATAAAAGAACGATCCCGGTCACTTCCACACAGTGAGGCTTACAGCTTATTCATTAAATGCTGGTATTGGATCGGTACTCTGTATCAGCTGATGCCCAACGCCCAGGTATCACTGTCGGGGCTGAAAAAGTCAGATTGGTGCGCGAAACATAATAGTGACAAATAAGACAACACAAAAACGTCACACTGTTCTAGTGTTTACAAGTTTAATTTCTAATGAACCTGGCTCTTATTAATGTTGTGGAGAAGGAATGGTATAGTTGGTTCTTACGTTACTGCAATAAAAGAAATGCACACACAACTATTCAGTATCTCAAGTTATTTGATGCTGCAAACGCGTATCCATTTGAAGTTCAGTTTGATCAATCATTATTGATTGGATGCAGCCTTCAAATTGGATACACTGTACAATGTTACACATCCAAGGCTACAGTACAGTAATGACATTAATAGATTCAAATGCGATAATAGCTCAAATGACTGTAATCCTTGAGAGTTGGTGGGAGGTGGGGGGAACATCCTCTGCTCCCCCCCTCTGTTTTGGTGCTCAGGAAGACCAGGTTAATGAATATGAAGTGGATCTACTGTATTATAATACAATTTACTCACCTTTTTTTTACTCAGGTATGATTAGGTCAATAGCAGGTTACAGTGATTCTCTACAGCTCAGAGCAGACTCGCTGCTCACACCAACTACCGTGGCCAGCCTGCCAGCTTTCTATCTGTGTGATTTTGTGTACATCATTTTCATGACTGACTGAGGTTGCAGTCCAGGATGATGTAAGCCTGTGTTAATTCAGTGTGGACAGTGCAGGCTTTGTTCTGTGCCCTTTGGTGCTACACTAGAGCTGTGCCGGGCTCGCTTATGTGACCTCTACCATTGTAGTGCGATGTGAATTTGAAGCTTTGTTTTGCTGCTGCAGTTGAATCAAAAAAAGAAAAAAAAAGGGGGGGGGGGGGGGAGCTGGAGTGAAGTGAAGCATATTTTAGCTTTCTATTTGGATATTCTTCCTTTAACTTTAGTTTGCATTTTTGCATCATCAAGTTGTTTATTTCCCTTAGTACTCCTGTGACATAATTATCCGGGTAAAGGTTTTATTCAAATATGCAATAGACCTGCTGAAAAAGCTTAACTTTAATCTTTTTTTTTTTTAAGCGCAGATTTGTGAAATGCAAAGGAAGGGCAAGTAGAAGCAGACAGTCTTTGATGTTTGTGCTGCCTTAGTATTGTGTGTCAGTACAAAATGAGATCAAGACAAAGATTCTCACCTTACCCTTTAGTAAAGATGAGATATTTGTTGAGGAAGCCTTTGTGGTTAGACTTAATCAGCAGTTTCACAGTCTTTAACAATAATCTAAAACCACAGGTATACAACAAGACAGGATGACGAGAGTCAGAACTGACTCTGCTCTATTTCCTGACCTATTTGTTGTGCATCACTGGCATTATACAGCAGCTGCAAAAGTACAGATTTGCACCGTTAATTGACAGCTCAGAGCCCCACTTACATTATACTCACCTGTTCATGCTCTATCTGAGCTGGGATTTTTTGTATTTGAATGATGTATTTGTTTTGGCAGAATTTGATTAACCTTAATTTTTTGTGTTCTTTTTAGGTCTGGGCTACAACAAACAGACACTTCATCTGAACAGCATGAATCAACATCCTGTTTCAACTGAATAAGTGCAAACAGTCAGCACACAGTTCACTGCTAACCTTCCGACCATCCCACACACACACCCCTGACCACTATACTGTAACATCAGCCAGTGCCTGAAAGGACAGCTTCATTATCCCGTCCACCCACCCAATTAGGAGCCAGATGGCACTTCTGGCCAATCAAATCATGGATGCAAGGATTCTCAGCAGCATGAATGGGAGAGCAGAGCTTTCCCAGTTCTTGAGGGTCACCAATCAAAGCATGGTCTCCCAGGTAAATTCCACCCAGGATGACAGTCGCAAGAACAGGAAGTATCCCTGCCCGTTGTGTGGAAAGCGCTTTCGCTTCAACAGCATTCTGTCCCTTCACATGCGCACACACACCGGTGAGAAGCCCTTCAAGTGCCCGTATTGCGACCACAGGGCTGCCCAGAAGGGAAACCTGAAGATACACCTCCGTACTCACAAGCAAGGCATTCTGGGCAAAGGCCGTGGACGAATTAGGGAGGAAAATAGATTGCTTCATGAGCTTGAGGAAAGGGCGATAATAAGGGACAGGCAGACGCGGGCTGGTCATGTTGGCCAACAGCAAACATCCAATATAAACCAACTTCAAAAGCCCCAGCTGTTAGAGACTGTCCCGACACAACCGCCATTCTTAACCATCTCTAGTGCTGCAGAGAGCCAGCCACACACATCCACATCTCCTAAGGTGACTCCCTTCCATGATGATCCCATCCAGCCCCAACCCACCGGCTTCCGCTGCTCATTCTGTAAGGGAAAGTTCAGGAAGCAGCAGGAGCTTGAGCGCCACATCAGGATCCTACATAAACCCTATAAATGCACCTTGTGCGAGTTTGCGGCTTCACAGGAGGAGGACCTCATCGCCCACGTTGAGACAACGCATATAACCGCTGATTCGGGATCGGGGCAGAGGCCCGCCATCGGGGCCGGCGACAAGAAAAGGCCCGCTGGCGAATTCCCCTGCGAGGTGTGCGGCCAGACATTCAGCCAGGCCTGGTTCCTGAAGGGTCACATGAGGAAACACAAGGACTCTTTTGAGCACTGCTGTCAGATCTGTGGCCGTCGTTTTAAAGAACCCTGGTTTCTCAAGAACCACATGAAGGTCCACCTAAATAAGCTGGCTGCCAAGCGTAATCTCCCTGCTGAACATGAGACCTCTGTTAACATGGAGAACCTGACACAAGACCACCAGAGCAACCTCTACTCACAGTACATCACCCGAATTCACAACAGGTTCCTCACAGCTGAGAGAGCCGACCATCAAGATTATAGCCAGCTGCTCGCCACAGCTGGCGTTGACATGAAGGTTAGGGAGATGTTAGGGAGGATGATTTCCTCAGGTCCAGGCCCCTTGACAGATGCAGAGAGCTCCTCCTTACTGGGTTTAAATCATCTCCACCCTCCACTGAGCTCCACTAGCATGGATTATCTGCAGAAGGTCATGTCTAACAGAGATGCACTCAACAGCAGCAGCAGCTACCCAGGCTGGCAGATCATGACACCAGGGTTGCCTGTTGAACAGCAAATGTTCGGTCTTAAAGACCAGCAGCAGAGCTCCTCCTACCTGCCTGAGAGATGTGTCCCTGTAGACGATGGCAAAGTGTGTCTCGGCGACCAAGACACTCAGGCCATCAGCAGGCCCGGTAGCCCAGGCAGCATGAGCCGTCATGGGCAGAAAGAGATCATCACAGAGACGGGGAGCTCCCACTCTGGCAGTGGCCTTGATCATCAACCGCTATCTTCTTCTCCAGTTACAGGTAATTCAGTCATGGAAAGCTCTTTTTTCTGAATTTTTTTATTTTTTAAGATTTTGATAAATGTGAGGATAGCAGGATATTATTTTCGTGCTTTCCAAAATTTGACATCCTCAGGGTCTAATGAAGGACACTATCAATTGCATTATGGGAACTGTAAGATCCCTTGTTTGTGGTCCTTGAACCATATTGCGTATTAAAAATATGAACATGTCTTCCTCTGCTGCTTCGATTTTGACCGTAATTTTATTTTTTTTAAACATAAAAAAAATAAATTGGGCATTTTTCCTTTAATTGAACGCAGAGCCGCAGAGATGAAATGCAACATGAAAGCCTTCGCCACCTGGATTCGAGCCAGAACAGTTGAGGTTTACAATGGTTTAATCTGTGTCTTGCAAGTCCCCCTTAACATATGGAATCACTGTTTGTCAGGTGTTTTTGCTAAGATGACAGACCTCATTACGGAGCTCTAATTTAATCACTGTAGAATATCACAACAAAGGATCAAATCTCTGCATCCCATAATCTTGTCTATATGTTTTCTTTTTAAAGTGGGAATATAGTAGCGAAGTGACAGCTGTGGCCTCATCTCTCTTCCCACTTGGTGTAGGTGGACATGAAGCGCAGGGTCAGCAACACCACCACAGATATTACTGTCATCCGCAAGGACTTTGTCTTCCTTTAAAAGATAATGGCATCATGTTGAATTGTAGGGATAATTAGTACCCTCTATTTTATATCCGTCACATCCCCACCCCTTGCCTACGGGGGCACAAGATGTTAATGCATGCCATCTGGTGTTTTTAATGATTTGATATATACCACCCAGTGATTTTTATGATTTGATCTACCACCTGGTATTTTTATTGATAGTCTTCTGTTCCACCTGGTGATTTGGATGATTCGGCTCTCTGGGTAAATGTCTTTCTTGTCATGGCATCCTGCTAACATGTTATCATGAGCCTAAATTACTGCTATAACAGCGTTGTTAAGAGAAGAGAAATAAATCCAAACTTTTGTTCTGTTTCTTCACCAGCTTACGACTGTGGTTATTTTCCACTGGAGTGCTGCTGTTATGTACGTCCAAGTCTGCCGCGCTCTTGTGGGATTTGATCCAGCATCCTCTTAAATGATGGCCGTATAGCAGAGATAAATGGATCAGGTCTAATCTCATTAGATGTTTTGTTTCCATATTGTACACACATACTGGTATCTGCATATTTACATGTAAATGCTTGCCGTTTATGGCCAAATCCCTCTCTGGTTGCTCTTTAAGAAACATATTCAAGCTCTGTTGTTTTTACTTTCCCTCTTCTCCCCTATCTCCAAGACCATACGGTGTCACTTCCAGAAACATTTATGATAGCTGGCTAGCTGAGGATTTGAGTGCACACAGTTCTGGGATGGCACATTCAGTATCAGACTCTAATTTCAGTCAATATTAAGCATGGAAACTAATTCATTGTAAAGGTCAGGCGTCATTGCTTTAGTCAATGATGGATCCGGCAGGCTCTCGCTCCCCCTCTCCTCCTCTCCTCTCTGTTCTTAGTCTTGTGTAATGGTAGACTCACTCTGGGGGCTTAGCACCGCATTGTTTAGCTCTGACAATATATCCCAGAGACCTCTGCAGCTGCTCCCTGCGCTCACAATGACAGATTAATTAACACAATCACACGCTGCTGGCCCTGGCTCAACACACAGGTCTGCTGCGGGACAGATAGGTAAATCCTACACATATGGAGAACACGCACCACTTGATGAGGGTTTAATAACAGGGATAAGTTTTTCCGGAGGTGGGGGGTTGTAACTGATCAAGTCTGTCTGTCTCGACGGTTGGACGTGGAGGAAGAGAGAGGGAGAGAGTGAGTGTTTTCTAATTCAGGAGAGCAGAGATGCTGAGGAAGAATTACCACTGCCAGATGTTCAGCTTGAGGAACATTGATTAGTCCAGAATTACTGGCTGCATTATTCATAGTCAGCCTATGGTGGTCATGAAGTTATTGATGTTCTCAATATGGATAGCAAATATAGTACAGTCATGGCTGTCAGAGTGAGAGACGGCGTCTTTGCTCGATACATTCCAGATACAGTGCTGGATTTAGATTTTTAACTGCAGAAGCCCAGCACGTTAAATTAGAAATTGCGTTTTGATTTCAATAGAAGTGTCATGAATTACTTCTCTCAATATCTCACCAGGACTGATTTGAAAATGCATTTTGACTTTAATTATAATCTGAGATTAAGACTAACGACTCTTCTTAAAATGATAAACTAATGAAGGGTGCACGCTTCAGGCCTCTGACCTACATTGGACCAGTTAGATCCCGGCTCCGAATAAAAACATGCTGAACAAACGTAAAATGCTCTGACAGTTATTAATTAGTCCCATTCAATACTCTTAACCTTAAGGTCAGTGAGCAGACACCATGTAATGATGTTGTCCCCACATGTGTTTTGTCCCTTCTTCCCTGCTTTTAAACTTCTTTTACTGTAAGCGTTAAAGCTATAAGAAATGATAAGCGTCTGTAAAGCTGTGACTGGTAATACCAGCAGAGGTTTACCCAGAAACACAGATAAAGCAAGCTGCTCTACAGAGTGTCACTTTTCGTTTGGCTGTTCCAGTTACATCAGTCTATTCTTTGTGATTGCTGACAGTAAAAGCATCTTTTAACCAAACGGGTCCTTATCTAACTCGGCCCTGTGTCTGGCTCAACAAACTCAGCTTCTTACTCAGAGATCACCGTACAGCCTGACTGGTTTGTCTGAACTGATTACCTGTTGGCTTTTCTGTCTCCCTCTCACTTCTGTCTTTTAATCCTCTTTTTAATTATTATTGCAGATATGAGGCTCAAATTAAGCTCAAAATGCTTGTTTTCCTAGCATGCAGATAAAAAGATTTACCCAGGGAGTTCTGAACACCTGCCTTGAAATATTGTTCCACCATCTCCTGAATGCCATTTGGCTTAATTGACTTGGAAACGTCCCAAATGCGTCATTGACTATGTGGTCTAATTAATATTAATAATATATGCTATTATAAACATCAAAGAACATCTGGTGCCCCTGTTTTTCTCTCCAGTCTTGTGTGTTACTCCCTTTCCCTCTCTCCCTCACTCTGTTTCATCTTAAACCAAACCAGCCACAACGTATCTCTGCTTTGCATTTCAGGTGCTTGATTGCATATATAGAAAAAGCCAAAACCTTACTGTGTATAGAGTTTGATATCTACAATATAATGCCAAATGCCTATGTAAGCATATAGTATGTGAGCCTGTGATTGCATTGACGGTGATGTATGGCTGTAAATCTTAAAGCTTATTTCCATATGAAATGAATCACTCGTCCAAGCCCAGCTGCATGCTTTTTCCAAAGACACGGCTCACTTGAGGAGTTTATTTACTTATTTATTTACCTTTCTCCTCTGCCTTTCACATCCAGTAAAGGCGGATAACTCATACGCATCACTTCATTAGTTGCTCTGTGTTAGGTGAGAGAGGCTGGAGTTCGTAATGATGCAGTAATTGGAGTTTTGGTTGATAAATCTAAGCTCTAAAATTACTCCCCTCACATAATGTGAGCCTCGGCAGTGTAAGTAAATCTTAAACTGATTAAGTTAGCATGAACCAGGCAATCACAAAGATGGCACCCGTCCAAACGAAGAGAAGAAATAGGCAGAGTCTTCGTTCTTTGTATTGTTTTACTGCTCTCATGTAGGCTGGCAAATGGGTTTAGGAAGGTCCACGCCGAAAGATGAGGTCAGATATATGTGTTTTCTGCATTCGGAGCTGGCCGGTAATGTCATCGTAATTCCAGCCGCAGAATAATTGAGATGTATGGCGTGTCTGACACCAGTTCCATTAAGCTGTTTGGATTTTTTTTATTTCTTACTGGAGACAAGGGTGTGGCACCGTTGAAGTCTCTTTCCCGCTCTCACACAGCCACGCACATTCATGCACGCACATTCATGCACGCACATTCATGCACGCACATTCATGCACGCACACATTAAATCCAACACACTGTACACACTGTAGACACACAAACTGTGCAAACAGGGGTGACTACCTTCAGTTCAGGGGCGCGGATTTGCCATTTCAGCAGTGATTTTTCAATTTCATTAGGTTCAGCTATTATTTAGGTAATATGTGGGCTTTGTTTTATGGTTTTTCGTACGTTTGAAAAGTCAAAAAGTCAAACAGCCCTCCTTTTACTACCATTCACCTCACAAAGGTGGTTTTTCCAATAAAGTTGGAAACAAAGTAAAGTAACAACTACAGATCATTAGATTTGGATTTACCTCAGAGAATTACCTCAGGGTCAGATCTTGAGGTGTATGAAATTGATATTTCTCTGGCGGGGATGAATCACCGTTGTAACTCAGATATTAGTCCATTAAAGAAGAACAATAAGGCATCACTATGCATAGAATTAAATTAATGGTGGTGGGTTTATCTCCCAATCCCAGACGCATCCCTAAAAGACACAGTATAATGTATGACCTGACCTTCAAATGCCAGGAGAGTGTTGGGCAATAAACTGCCAATATTTGTGGCTTAATGGCGTCGGATGACTTTTACTGTAATTGGAATGGCAGCGAAACAGCTGGGCTGTTTAAAGACAGTGCAAGGCTGAGGTCTCAGACAATCACTAACTCAAAATGGTCACAGGGAGTGTGTTTAACCCTGGAGGGAGTTTCTGTGATAGCTATAATGATTAAACTGTAGGTAAACAGAGGGAAGAAGACGTTTAAATTACCTTTAATTAAAAGTTGTGGTGAGCAGGATCAAATCTTGTTTCCAGATGGATATTTTTCATCGGCTAAAAGGAGAAAAATTACCCTTTGTCATTCTCCACAATAACACACTTTGTACTTTTTGAATTATGGCTCCAACACACCATTTTTCACTAGTATGAAGCAAAAATAAACTCAGCTACAGTACATGGTGCGGTTAATCAGAACTGCTCACATGTTGGACTTCGTTATTTTTGACTGGGAAACCCACTTACTGGTTTTGATGGAATGAGGTTCTTATCTGCGACATCTGCCTTGTTCTACTTGCTTTGAATTTGACTGTTTATTATTTCTGGAAGAATCTTGTTTGGTGTTAACATCTTTGGGTATATTTATTGCACATGGTGGTGGCGTCCATACTGTAAAATGATGGATCACTGGAGCTGAAAGCTGATTACAAGCTTGATTTACTGCAGGGCAGCGCTTAAATCATTCAACTCAGCCTGGTGTGGGATTGCAACATTTTTCATGTTTAGACAACGGTTGTTGGTACATACTTTTCTCAGAACAGAGTGCTCAGTATGACTCATATGCACACAGTTTCCTAATTTGATTTGGATTGTGTTGTGTCTTTGCTGTTTTTGTCTGTGTTAGGTGAGAAAGTCTACAGGTGTCCACTCTCCAGCGACTTCACCGCTGCACAGACAGCCTCCCTCGGCTTCCATCTGGATCGCTACCACTTCCCCCACTGGCAAAACAGCAGGGATCTTTCTTCTCCACTGCAGCCCACCAGCAGCAGCAGCTCCAGCCCCAACCCCAACCCCAAGCTCAGACCCAGATCCAGGGAAGACTGGAGCCCAGCCCACTATCTTGGTCTGGAGAGCCATGGTGAAAACGCCCTGCTCATCAAGCAGCCTGAACTTACTGACAAAGAAGCAGGTGTAGAGGGCTCTTTATCGGCTCAAACCAGGAAGTCCCAGTATGAGCCTTTAGATTTGTCTGTCAGGCCGGAGTCTGTCATGTCTCATTCGGGCATATCTCCGGCTGTACTGGTACAGATGTCTGGCGTTTTCAGAAATGGACTCTCCTCCTCCATTACTCGCCGGCTACAAAGTTACTCTAACACTGCAGCTGAACTCGGCGTGAAACCTGCATATCAGTGTGACCTTTTGGTGCAGGGAACAAGAGAAGAGATGAACGCACAGAATGCCGGCTCCACAGGTCACGACGGTGAAGGTGAATTCGAGAAATCAGAGCTCGGGAGGGGGGACGAAAATGACGCCAAGTGGAAGATGCTGAAAAATAATATCCTCGAGCCAGAGGAGCTGGGGCAGGCTGATTTCCAGAGTCCTGGCGAGAAGAAGCACGAAACACCCGGACTTTGGGGCAGAGCTGTGGCTGAATCTCCCATCTCCTCTCTGGAGAGCTTGACTCCAGGACAGGGGGATCAAGTCCAGCACCAGGGCGGCCTGCTCTCCTTCTTCAGATCCCAGGGGAACCTGAGCAGCACACCTGCCAGCGCACACAAAGCCAGTCTGAACGATGGCGGGAACATGGAGAAAGATGTTGCATCAGGTGAGCATCTATATCATGTATGTTAAATGCAGCTGTCACTGTTACCAAGATGAAGCCAGGGTGGCATTAGGATTTAAAGGTGTCTACTGCCACCTAGTGGACACAAGCTGGTCTTTGCTTTTTTTCCCCCCATCTTGTTATCTCCTTTCAGATGCTTTGTATATCACCCCATCTCAGTGTGATAGACCACTGCAGATGGCCGTATAACAATATTACAGTTGGCTTACTTAATTCTAAATATACGAGGCTGACTAGCATGCGTGTCATTGTCAAGGATGCTGTTACAGAAACTTTTAAAAAGAAAACGTTTTTTGGCAGTATCTCCACCATCATCACCTGACAGAGGAAGTGTAAAGAGTGAGTGTGAGTGTGTGAATAAATCAAGCCAATTACAAACAACACACCTCCTTTAGCACTTCACTTTTCTTTTCTTTTTGCTATCTCTTTTCTCAAACGAGGGCTGAAGAAGACACAGGTGTGTGGCACTGATTACCCTACACTTTAAAGGATGATATAATCTCCCTGTGTGATAGGTTGCAAATCACCCAAACCAATGGAAGCCCACTGATGGAGAGGCTTAAACTCTTGTGCTGGTGTGATATGCTCGCTGAGTGCAGATTTAATAATGCTGTCTCTCAAGAGAGGGAATCCAACAGCTGGGGTCTTTGATATGCATGTATTATGAGTGCAACATGATACACCTTCCCTCTGATCCCCCTCTTATTCAGAAACTCAATATGTTCATGTGAAAGACAGGAAAGTGCCTGTCAACTCCATTAGGGATTAACATCTGTTCCCTTTCTTTATGATTCCAACAGCAAGATGTAGTTTTCTATTTGATTGTACAGATGGTTATAATAATACGCCGAAAAGCACCCCTTTCCTTCAACTCCTGTCATGGCCGTCGCACTGTTCATGTTTCTTTCTTGCTTTTATCGCGTATATAAAGTCACTTGAATTACAAAAAAAAGACAGGCATTTAGAAAAGCTGACCGCTTTGAGTCGTCGTATTTGAACAAACCTCATATTTTAAATTCCTTTAAAAATCTAGCAACAATTGACATTTCAAACCTTTTTTTTAACCTCATACACAGCACATTATTCTGTGACCATCGTTTGTGTTTCTAAGCAATCTGATCAATGTATTTGTTTCCTGCTCGGAGTTATTTCAAGCATCCCGTGACTTTTGTTTGCTGCAGATTGATCCTCCATATTTTTCTCTCTCCCTGAGGAGGAAGATGTCACAGACACAATAAACACCTGTCAGTCAAACTGGACACTGAGATGAGTAACTGACATTGAGAGTCCATTGAGTGTCCTCTAGAACTGAACTAAGCAGGTGGCCCGGCAGGCTGTCCTGTCTGCAGTGCTGACCAGGTGGCTTTGTCACGGGGCTGTCTCCTGTTGCCCCCATCCTCTCCATACTGTATGGCACGTCGAGTGGCATGGTGACATATTGCCGGGCAGTTTGGACATGGAGTGATGTGTTTGTGATGACAGTTCAGGTCGGCTCCAATGTGACAGCAGTGGTAATTGGCCAGATGGTGACCTCTGGTTGAACCTGTCTGCATGCTCATTAGTCTCACTGAGCCCTCCCTTGTGTGTTAAACAGAAACTCTCATCTCCGCACTGCTTTGACTAAACCACTAGATGGCAACATTTACCACTCAACAGTTACGCTGTGGTAAAACCTGTAAATGTTTCTGTACCAGGTATTATGGCACGCTTTCATTTTTCACAGGCACAATTAGGACAACTATTTTTGAGAACACAGTCATGTGGCGCCAGGGATGCCTCAGGGTTCATCCAACTTTAAATCAGTTAACCAGTAAACTAAACCAGCTGTGTCTTCTGCAACATCAGACCAGGCCTCTCAGACGCATGTGAACAAGAGAATATGAGAAGATCGATAAAGAAAGGATTAAAAACGAACGAACAACAGAGGACAGAGAGGAAGAAAAGGCCCCGATTTGAAAGGTTGAAAGGGGTGAGTTATTATCTCATTGTCTGACCTCTGCATACCCTCCGCGGAGAGGGTGACAGAGAGCGAGAGAAAAAGGAGCGAGACAAGGAGCGAGAAAGATCACCATAGATGGAGATAGATGGAGCGACAGCGAGGTGAAAGAGGAGCGGTAGTGCGGCTGTCTCCATGAGCAGATGTCGTTTGAGGGCAGCGAGAGGGCAGCGCGGCCTGCCTTTGTGCCGTGCTTCTCCCCATAGAGATAATGAAGGGTGGAGCACTGGGAAGGATGTGCAGTCATCACTCACTGTCTGTGTGCCATCAGAGCTCAGCCCTGTGTCATCCGTCACCATTCAGCTCCTCTGGCCCCCGTCGGCCCCGCCACTGTCATCATGGTCATTATCTCAGCCTATGACACACAACACACTCTCACCGCACACACACACACACACTCACACTCACACGCGGGAATTCATGCGTACAGGTGCAAACATATACATGTGTACAAACTAACGCAAATATGCACTAAAGTCAGGCAGGGTATGGTATTACATTTTTTATACAGTGCCTATACAATATTTGAGTTTCAATACTAATACCATACTAAAATTGGTTTTGATAGCTTTCTCTGACACAAAAGAAGCCAAAGTTCTCAAATGTTACATATAGGTTAAACAAAACCCATACAAGGGTTTTCAAAGTCTTAGACTGTGGGCTAGTTTTGCTCAACTCCTGGATGCCTATGGGATCATGATTATGTTATTTGATCCCATAAACACTCGACAAATGAGCGAAGGTAGCCGAATAATGCTGTTTGACATGATGTCCGACCTACACCAAATACATAAAAAGAGGTCTGTCATAAGGCATTTATTTGTTTCTGACTGGGAAAAAAACACTGCATCTCTGAACTATGTCTTCAACCAAATCACACACATTATATATGATCTTCTTTTGACAACTAATGTAATAGCTAATGGGAATTTTTGTTTTCACACACTTTGGAAACCTGATTTTTAGAAAATAGTCTGACCAGAAGTTTACAGAGTGCTACTCTGCTACTGACACATTTGGTTTCGTACCACAATATTCTGAGGCCAGTCCCAGCCCTACTCATGGCAAGAGAGGGTTACTACCTAAAGGAATAGTTTAACATTTCGGAATATAGGCTTTTTAGTTTTATTGCCGAGAGTTAAATGAGAAGACACCACCCTGATATTTGTACATTAAATATGAATCAACAGCCAGGAGAAGGTTAGCATATAGCTAGCATAAAGACTGGAAACAGAAAGCCTGGCTCTGTCTGACATTAAAACAATCTGCCGACTAGCACCTCTTACGCTCACTAAAAAATACATTATATCTCCTTTGTTACATTTTTTTACATAAACCTGAGAGGTAAAATTACACATCATGGTTTTACAGAGAGTTACGTACTGGACACTTGCGTGGTGGTTGCATTGATTGCTAAAAGTAAGTCTGAGGAGGCAAGAAACACAAGTGGTCAAACGGTTATATGGTTTTTAAACAAACTCCGAGGTCAGCTTAACTTTCTTGAGAGACTAAGCTGAACGATAGAATTACAACCCAAACTGTCTGTTGTAAACATCCATCACAGTTTATGACTTCCTGGTTCATCTTTGACCTAGCATACATGCCATAGTTGTGTAAGTTTCCTGTGATTTTCCTCAGATAATCTGGCTGTACTGTTAGCTTGTTTACAATCTGTCTGACTGCCCGTGTTTCTTGTCTGACTTCGTTATAGTGATGTCGCCGTGTTCCCAGATCTCAGCAATAACTCCGGTGAGTACAATGTTATCATAACAGATGCAAACGATGGCCAAAATTACACAAGACCCAAGTTGTAATAAACCAGAACTGTCCTTTAATACAGTCCAATGTCAGTATTTTACAGAGTCAAAGTCAGTAATCATTCATTCTGTTCTTCTTCCTTCACTCTTTCTCTCAACACCACACAATTCCACCCCCTCATTTCCTGTCCAGTGTATTTTGTGCATCCGTGTGTGTGTGTGTGTGTGTGTGTGTGTGCGGCTGGTCTGAAACTGTGGCTCGAGCAGCCTATGAATGGAGGATCATGTGGTGAAGAGATGGATGGCTCCGAGCCCACTGCTGTCTCCTCTAATTGTAAAATATTAGTTACATTAGACTGTTGCCTGTGATTAATGGAACTTATTTGGAGGTTGCCCTCTCTTGGACCTCCCCTCTCCTCTGGTGGGAGGGAAGAAAGAACAGCAGACCCAGGGAGACGATGGGGGAGAGAAAGAAAGGCGAGGGGGGGAGACAAGCAGGGCAACAAGCGACTGATGCAAACGCGAGACCTTTTGGCTCATTATTAACTGACTTTATGAGAGTGTAATGGGCTACAGGATTGTTCACATCATCTGAGTGCATTTACAAGATTTTAACAAGATTGAGGTAAATCTGTTCAGTCTCTCAAGTTACAATAGATGTGTACAATTTGGGAAATGTGGGGTTTTTCTGTTCCCTATGCGCTTATCCTTCTTGACAGAAATTTTATAAGTGAGATTAAAAGATGCATAGAATCAGAAATGTTAATTATTTGCTGTCCACCCCCATTTCCTGTTTTTCCCACTTCCATTGATTGAGGCTTGACAAAGAGACAGTTGAGTTTAACACCACAAACAGCTCTGTACCTGGATTTTGACAAAGCTTTTCTTTTACAATTGTTCCTCCCAGACAGCTCTCCCTTCCTCGCTCAATAAGACTACTCCTACACACACACACACACACACACACACACACACACACACACACACACACACACACAAACACACACAACCCTCTGTGGCATCCTGATGATATTCAGATGTGTCAGGTCTTATCCTCTCTCCGACTGGTGTGTGTGAATGCCTGTGTGTGTCCTTTACGGCCATCAGGTTATTATACACCAACAGATGGAGCATTACCTTTTATTGCTCACACCGTCTGTGAGTTTTCCCACTTTTCCCCCCAAAAACACCTTTTTTATGTAGATGTGAAAGCGAGTGTTCAGCTGCGTACAGCTGTCTCGGCTCTGATGAGGAGCATGATAGAGAGGAAGAGGCGAGGGCGGGGGTGAAAAGGCTGAGACAGCCCTCAGTTTTTGGGAAGTGATGTCAAATGACATCAGCACATAATGGTTTACTGTAACCATGAATCACAGAGAAACACATTAAAGTGTTAGACAGAGGGGAAAAGAGAAAGTCATTATATGAAGTAACATCTCAGAAATAGCACAGCAGTGAACAAGGACATGTAACTGTCGAGGTAGACAGGTAAATGAGTCATCCGGCACAGTTTTTGTTTTGATCTTAGCTACACCTTCGGGCTGTGGTGTCATACTGATTTTTATTAAGGTCACGTAAACTTCTGGAAGCTATTAACGGTATGCTTTGTTGTTTGTATCTTAAAGGTACACTCTGTGCTTTGTCATGTAGATTCAGATTATTTGTAGCGGAGTTATGTAGCGGGCGCTAAAGAGGGGGGACAGACAGGAAGTTTTGGCATGCCTTGCCTCCCAGCTGCAGACGTCTGTCGTTCCTCAACTCAACACTTGTGTGTGTGTTTATTTGTCTGTGTGTGCATGTGTCCATGTGTTGTGTGCAGGAAATATGTTACAATGTATTAGAACTTGCTGCCCTTTTTATAAAAACATGTCAGCCCATGAAGTGTCACACAGTGTTAGAAAGAGCAAATTGTTATCATGAAAACACATTTTTAGAGTGTTATTTTATTATAACATTTTTCTACATTGACTCTAGCCCACTGTGACTAATAGGGAACTTGTTTAAGCCCCATTGAAACGTCACTGTGTGTGTGTGTGTGTGTGTGTGTGACTTTATTTCCCTCTGACATTTCAAAAGCTCAGTCAAAGTTTAACTTCTCACCTGCCAACATCTGGTCTAGAATACTGGAAACATGACCGTCAAAATTATATTTAATATCCAGAATTGTAAACATAAATCTTTTTCACAAGACTCAATCTCACCCTGCTCATTTTCACGAAGCTTTTTCTCGATTAGCACCCTGTACTACTACAAAACTTCACTGAATGTGTTGTTTTGAGCCAGAGCTGTTGGTCTGTTTTGATTTGACTGGCTCACAGTGCTCAGCTGGGACGAGGTTTGAGCTCTCTAACTGTATTAAGTCTGTTCTCTCTGTCTGCCCTCTTCGTCTTTCCCAGCTCGGAAGCCATTCCAGTGCAGGTACTGCCCCTACAGCGCCTCCCAGAAGGGCAACCTGAAGACCCACGTCCTCTGTGTCCACCGCAAGCCCTTTGACAACAGCCTCTACCCCGACCGCCGCCTCCGGCGCTCGCACACGCCCCAGAGGCCCTCCAGATTGCCTCAGAGCATCACGGGAGATAACCTTGTGCCGGGAAGAGACCAGATCGGCATGACATCGCTCTGTGGGACTTGATGTTGTCGTGGCAACAGCAGATACAGACAGTTATGATTATTGTTTTATCTTCGTGTCGAAGGGGTGATTGAAATTGTTAAAAAAAAAAAGAGTTGACAACCAACCTTGATGTACATTCCAGTGTTTACTTGAAGAGCCACAGTACGTATTTATCTGTAGCAAAAAAGCTGCCTATAATAATAATAAAGTCCGTTGTGATGTGAAAGTGTAGCGAGGGTATTTAGTGCCGTTCATTTTGTCAGAATTGTCCAAACGATTTACTTGTGTTTACACGCATCTATCAGTTCAACACTTGTCCGATAGGGAGAATGTACCGTGCCTGCCCAAAGCACTTGTTCTTTCATCCAGTAAATACCCTGTGTTACATTTTTGTAAATATCGCTCGATTTCCCTTCCAGTCCAGAAGTCTTGTCTATCTGTCAGGATATGGTGCCAGATGTTCGGGCTTTAATCGCGGCAGATGTAATGAAGTAGAATGTTGCACATCGGAGCTTCCATTTGTTCTGGATTCCACTCCAGGGAGAAAGCCTCTCTCACATATAATTATTGGCCATTAACTCCTATGCTTCATGCCCTCGTGCTGGAACAATGCTCAATTAAGGGGAACCAAGGAAATGGAAAAACTGCAGAGATGCATCGATAGTACATTCAAATCCTTTTTTTCTTACGTTTTTTTGTAAATTGAGTGGAACCAGCCATGTGTGTATGTACCAGATCTGCCCACTAGTATGAAATAGGCCCAATCAACACAGCTATCGTGTGCTGCCAAGGCTATGTATGGTAATTTTAGCATGATCTGAGCTGCCTCAGCCTCCTGTGCCAAAACCCTGCCTGTAAACCCAGAGATCACCTTGGGCAGCTGTGTGCCTGTTCAGCCGGGGCCTTGTAGCCACAGCGATGTGACTTTGACTGACAGTCGGCCTGACAACTCCATTCATGCGCCACCTGCTAGCTGTCAATCAGGGTGGCCATCCTGGGGCTATTGACGGAGCTGTCAGCCTGTGTGAGATGTGTCTGTCAAAGCCCACCCACTCTGCCACTCTGTCTCCCTGCCTGGGCAGTCTGACATTCGTTTACTGTCCCCTTTCCATCCCGTCCATTTCTGTCTCTTTCTTCCACTCTGTGTCCGTTCGTCTCTTCCCTGTTTCCCTTCAGAGACACGCCAGCCCCTTAATCCCCGATCCAATCACAGATTCTTTGGGTACACGTTTGTCATCCTCAAACCCTCTGGTTTTTGTAATGGACTGCTTCACAAACACTTCTGCAGGTGACTCAGGCCTGATATACATGCAGTTTTATTGCTGCTTCTTGTATTTGTGTGTACCCCGTCAGCGCTCTACGCCACTACTGCCACCAATTCTTTCTCTACTCTCTTTTCCCCCTCAATTTCTCTCGCCGCCATCTTCCTCCTCCTCCTCCTCTGCTCACTCGACCCTTCATCTCTCTAGCTGACAGGTGACAAGGTCTGGGCCTCCAGCTGACTGGCTAATCGGAGACCTGTCATACCTGTCAATAGTTTTTCAGAGCCATGCCAAGCCAGATCAGGCCAGACCAGACCATGCTTGTGAGTTGACCAAGGGCACAGAGTTATGTGGCGATTGGAAGAAATGCTCCAAAAACTCACAGCGTTGTGGAAATTCTGTCACTTGTACCCCTCCAACAGCCCTCTGGATATGGATCATCCCTGAGGCCTCATCCTGTCAAACCTCCTAATTAAGCGCAGTTTCTCTTAAAGCAGGGCCTTTAATTAATGCAGGGGAAGTTTGTTAATTACTCCTAACGGTGATGAATGTTTTAGTTAACGTCTCACAACTGTAGTCAATGTCATACTCAGGCTCTGTTACTGCTTTGTAAGGGCTCATCTTTCTAGCGTACAGCCCTGTTTTTTTTTACCGCTCCCGGTGTTGTTTTACGTTTGAACTCAAGGACTCATCGTGTCATCGCTTTATCTAAAAAGGCAGTTTGCATGTGATCAGGTCATGTCATGCCTCCACAGCCTGATTGGCTTGACAGACAAGTGAAAAACACAGATGCCAAATTCCTGTATTTTATCCACCGGAGCTTTGGCTCACCTTGACCTTTTGCTGAGAATGACATCCTGTTTACCTGCAGTAAATCAATCCTCATTCTCTGACACCTATAAATAACCCTTCTCTGGAGAAAAGGCGGACATGCCATCTCATAGTATCTGATGGCGTGGGTTTTACCTATCAACCCCAGATCAGAATCAGGGGTTGATATTTTCATTGATATTAAGTGAAATGTTGATAAGTTAAGTTTTGAAAAATGCAAATTGGCTATATAGGTATCGTCTTTTTATCTTTTGTTATTTCTTTCTTGTCTTTCCATTGTGGAAATGATCACCGTAATCTTTTGTTTTCCTCTTGTTTTCCTGTTCTTCATGCTCCTGATCGTTATCCCTCTCATCATTATTACTATTTACAGTTGCTTATCTGCAGACCATGTTTGAGGTCTCTTTCCCAACCTCATCGAGAGAGGCGGGCCATGTACAGCTAATCAGCCTGAATAAGTAAAGGAAACAGTTTGACAGGCCAGGTAATGAGAAGTAATGAATCACTAATCACAGTCTCTTACAACCCTTGGAGCACAGATGAAAAATTAAAGGTAATTAGCTTGCACAGTTGTGAAAACAATATTTAAGACTGTTGGCATCACATGCCACAGACTTAACAGATTTTCTCCGCCGACAACATACATCAACGCAGCGCTGAAGTCCTAATATCAAGCTGTTATTGGAAAAGCTTTCTCGATGTAATTTTAGTGACTGATCTGATCAGGGTATACAAGTCTCCCTTTTTTTTCCCTCTCTCGCAGGCAATCTGGCCAAAACGTGAGCATGACAAATGTTTCACTTAGTTTTTCCCGCAGGATTTTCTCCACTGAGGAAAAGACGGAACATGCCAGAAACATGCTTCTGAGACTCAGCTTTGGTTAAAGTAGCACTGAGGAACAGCGGAGTGTGAGGTATTATTCATTCGCTATACTTCACACACACACACGCGCATGCACACACACACACACACGCACGCACACACACACACACACACACACACACACACACACACACACACACACATAGTGTAAGGTAATTCAGAGACGTGTGGTCAGAGCTGTGAACCCTCTGCAGCTCTCCGTGGTACCTGCGCTTGACAGCAGAGTGAGAGATGCTTTGACAGGGTCCGTGTTAGACAAGTCTGCGCAAAACTCAAAGTACAGGATCCAGACACGGGCTGTCAGTCAAAGCCGGCGCATCTCCCAGCTGAGATGTGCCAGTTTAGTCACAGTTACAAAGGAACTAATATGCGTTAACTGGAGCAAGGCACACATATGGGCCTGGTAGAGCCCTGTGTCCCGAGGCTGGGATTGAATGAATGCCAAAAACATAAGCCCAAGATATAAAAAGAATTACAAGGGGACAAATAAAACATGGGGATTATGTCAGTGTGAGAAATGGAGGTGTTGTAATTCTGCATGTGTGCCGGTTGCCTCTCCTGTTTCAGCATCCAGGGCCTGTGGGCTGTAGCCCCGCAGTCCTGCACCTGTGCTCCGCCGATCCAGGAGCTTTAGAGACAGAATGGAGAGGAAGCTGTTATACTGTACGTGTCAGGGAGGGAGAAAAAGAGGGAAGAGAGAGGCAAGGTTGGAAAAGAAAAGTAGGACAGGACAGACTGATTGGGGATGTTGGAGACAGCAATCGGGCCCCAAAATGCTGTATCTGCCAAATCAGATGCCAGCACCCATGTTTTGAGTTTTAGGCGCTCGTGTAGGAGAGTAACCGCCCTTATATCGTACAATACACATGTTTAGTTAAATACCAGTGACAGGAAGTGACTAGATTTGAGGCCACAGCTACTCCCCTGCTCAGCCGCTCGTGTCGTGTTATCGCCCAAAGTTCATTTGAGTTTCAAGCCTCCTCTCTCTCTCTCTCTGTTGCTCTATCTGCTGAAAAGACCTGTCTCACATTAACAAACAATTGCACCAAACTCCATTAAACTCCCTTCATGGGGATGTGATAGTGCCTCAAGTTAAAGGCTGTAATTGAAAAGCATTTGACAAACCACGCACCGCAAAGCGACAATAGACAAGCTGTGATTCTCACTTGAGTTATTCAGTGGAAATGATTATCATCATTTTATTCTGTGCCCCGCACAACTTGCTTGAATAGTACGTCTCTAAAACAGTGATTCTCGGATTTGTTCATGCTAACGATCTTCAGATGGATAGACATCCAGATAATGATTTTCTTTTTCACCACATGAGTCAGTATACAACAGCCTGTGGAATCTATATTTCTAATGAAATAAAAGCTAAAATGAGCTACTTTTTGACTTTTTTTTGATCTGATGACACCGAAGCGGGGCTGCCAGAATGCCACTTTGACAACTTACTGTTCTCCAACCTGCACTGAAGCGCAGCGTAACCAGTCAAACCCTAAGAAGTGGAAAGTCTCTCTGGGAAGATGCTCCCGTCCATTGATTTGAAGTGACAGCCACATCCTTGACAAACACACCTGTCAGTGTTCAAGTCACATCACATTTTCAGTTTTACAGACAGAAGACAGCAGAGGTGTGCAGGGGTGTGTGTGTGTGTTTATGCACATGCGAGCATGAGTGCCCATAAGAAAGTTTCTTCATCCCTTTTTTTTCATTTTTTGTGGATAGATACTTCCACTCTGCTCCAGCTGTTGTTCAGGAACACAGCCAGATATTCTTTCATTGGCTTCTTCAGCCGATGTTTATGAAACAAGACATCTGTTATATTTATTTGCAAACACGCGTCAGAAATGGATTTAATGTGCCAGAACCCGCTGACCATCACTCTGTGTGTATAAGTTAGTATCGCTGAGCTGGTCAGAGAATCTGTGTGTCTCTGCAGTGGCGTGGCAAGTTTTTGGCTGGGGAGGGGCTGGTTATGGGGACTGAGGAAGGAGGGGGGGGGGGGGGGGGGGGGGGGGGGGGGGGGGGTGGGAGGGAAAGAGAGAGGGTGGGGGGGGGGGGGGATAGGGTGATGAGCTGCTGCAATAATAAGCAGATTTTAATGATTTACTATAAATCAGCAGCCGAGGCCTCTGCTTGGGGAGACTGAGGGGGATGACAGCTCCTGACTCACACACCTCGCAAATGCCTTGCTGATGATGTGTGTGCGCTTCAGATCATCAATCACTGCGCGCACACACACACACACACACACACACACACACACACACACACACACACAGACATCCCACTTTTACAAAAACATGCTTTCAACACACGTACACAGATTCACACCTACACACACTCACACACACACACACACATGTGCTGCCACACACATGTTCCTTGTCTCTAATGTCTCCTCTGCTGTGGCAGGGGACAAATCAATCATGGGTACAGAAGTTCAAGGGGGTAAGAGATTGTCTGGTCCGTTTTTCCCTATGCTATTGATCCCATTTTACTGGCATCATCGCCAAGCTGTCTCGCAAACCCCGGGACGGCGATGGATTGAAAGTGGATGATTGAGAGAGGAGGTAGGGTGACATTCACTGTAATCTCAGCCCCGCACCCGCACCCCTGCCCCCAACCCTGCCCTTCTTCTCACACACTGACAAATCCAATGACATTGAAAGTTAGCATTGTACCGGGAGATTTTGGGAGCAGATAGAATCAGGCCTATCAGCTTGAATCTCCCAGTGAAGGAAACACACTTTGCAAAGATTAACAGTGTTTTTCTTGTCTTCTTGTCTCTTTGCATTCCTTCTCCAGTCATCTGAGTGTCTGAAGGTGTTGTGCTGTCTACCGCTCCTTGAATTTGATGAAAAAGACATTGGAAAGAACACCTCATGACAGCACACCAAGTGTGTGGGGGACGCAAAAAAAAGAGTGACACAGAGTATTTCCCTAAAATTCCAAAATGAGGCTCATGTGGAAAATTGAATGCATGCTCCATTTCCTCATAAGTACTGGCAGTGTTTTCTTATCACTTGTGTAAATGAGGAGGGGATTTTCCCAGGAAATGATGGAGAGTTTGCAGTGAAAGCAACACTGTTGAAGGCGTCCGAGACATCACAAGACAAACATGTTGCAAACAGATTTTCAAAGATATAATCGTTTCTGCTAAATCCTGGGAAGAGTTTATGACACTGCCTTCCAGTGAAATGTTGATTCCCACTGGTAACATGACACAGTCAGATGACTATAAACATTTTAAAAGAGATATAAGACATGGACCAGACACCTCAATATTTTAATCTTATATCATGTCTTCCAAAGAATTAAGGATGTGTTCACTGTCTATACTATTTACAGGAGCTGTTTGCATGGGTTTCTTTAGAAAGTTCATTATGTGTTGATAATCAAAATCATGCAATTTGATACACTAATTTATGCACTAGTTTGAATCCATCAGCACAAAGTTACACAATGTAAACCCATAATGCCAATATAGCTCAAATTATTTACTTTGTATTACAATGCAAACCTCAAGCGATGATCATTCACTGCACTATTAGTATCAGTATATCACCGTCAGGCTGTTTATCACATTATATCTACATTATGATGATGCACAGGTTTAATTACAAATAGATGGATGCTTCATTCATCTTTCCTGTTGCTGACGTCTTGATTAAAAATGTTTAAAGGATTATCTATGGGACTCCTATTTGTGTCCTTGTGTTTGTCTTTTCAACTTTCATCCACTCGCCTGATTTATTCCCCTTGTCTATAAATAAGTAGACAGGGTGCATGTGATGGATTAGTCTGTTGACATTGTACCAACTGCAGGTAAACAATTACTATTCATGCTTCATCGTCGTAGAATCTATACCAGGATACTGCCACTTAGTAAGGGACAAAAGGTTAGGCTGCGAGCTATTGTTCTGCATTTGGTCAAATGTCATTCATTTCATAATCCGCTGCAATATCAAAAAAATGTAAAGTTTCAGGAGGTGTGAAGGATCGAGCTGATGCTTTCTGGGACTGAAGGCCCTTCATGTGAAGAAACTAAACATCCCTTTTTTTCTGGAAGCAGATGAGTCTTGTAATCAACAGCAGGCCTGTTATTAAATCAGTGCAGCATGGCCGGTGTCTGTAGACTGTGAGTATCCTTTTACATTGTGAAACGCACACTAGTGTACGGCCACATCCAGCCCCTCCTCGCGCGTCATTCATTGTTTATTCAAAACCCAGTGTTGCTCCAACCCTCAGCCCCTGTGGGCTGGATCAGTCTGCGGTCATTATGCTGATATGTGCAGTGAGTCACTGGGAAAAGAAAGAGGGGGTTAAATCTGTGTGTGTGTGTGTGTGTGTGTGTGTGTGTGTGTGATTATATGTAGTAGGCCTACATCTGTCAGAGTGTGATTACAGTGTTAGGAGTTTATGAAACAGCCTCTGTATCAAAACATATTCATGTCCCTTAGGCCACAGAGTGAAAGGCCTTTTTCAGACTAGACTGTGGAAAAGAGGATTAAGCAGAATACTATGAAGATGTGTGGCAGAGGAAAACATGTTGTACAAATGCTAGCATTCAAATGCTATTCAGCGAGTCTTTTCTCTCAGAGGTGATTTGTTTGCTCAATCAGATTCAACAAGATTGCTTTTGTTTTCTTTTGTTTTAGCAGCAAAAATCAATCGAATTGGTTGTTGTTCACGGTGAAGCAAAAGCCAATGAGAATGTCAAAAGCTGTCGCGAGCTAGAGATCGGGACTATATTTGGTCATATTCTCCCACTGGCTGTTGTGTGTATGTGTGTGTGTGAGCGATCAAGCAAACACAACGAAACCCGTTTATAATTAACAGGAAGCAACTTGAGTTTAACTGTCAGAGTTTTGGCCAGTGTTTCTATGACATGAACAAAGTAAGACGGAGCAAGAAACACAAGTGGTCAGATGATCAGACAGACTGTAAACAAGCCAACAGTTTAGCCAGATTAACGTTAGCGCAGCATAATGTCAGTAAATTCATTTCACAGGAAAAGTCTGTAAACTGTAAAGAATGTTTATAACGGACATTTGAGTTGGAATTTACATTTTGCTTTTGCTATATCTTCCAAATAAGTCAAATCACATGACAAATCTTTCCAGTGGATGTCTTTAAAGCTACGTCACCATGTTAATCCAATTAATTAAAGTGAGGAGTATTTTCATGTTTCATGTAGTTGCTACATTATATACTGTACTATATATACAACTATTTAATCTTTAACAATACATTTTGCTGATTGATCCAATGATTTGTATGCACAACCGGAATAATTCTACTTTTATGCCACACATATTATTGTACGCAGCACAGTGAAATTTAGCCTCTGCATTTAGCCCAAGCTAATTTCAGTGGGCAGCTCCTATACAGTGCGAGGGAGCAGTTTGGGGGTCTTGGCAGTGACCAGGAGGTGAACAGTTCACACTCAGGACATCGAAACACTGGTTCCCAATCCAAGTCCCCACGCACTGAGGTGGTGCTGTCCTTTATCATCTGCAATGTAACTAGTTACTACAGCTGTCAGATAAATGAAATGACGTAGAAAGTACAATACTTCCATCTGAAATGTACAAGTGTAAGTAGCTATAAAGTAGCATTAAATTGAAGTAGTATACCTTAAAATGAAAACAGTACTTGAGTAAATGTACTTACTTACTCAGAGTACAATGTTTTTTCCCTTCCTACATAGACCCACAACAATGTCACATCGTCTCATTAACGCTGACCAGCACAAATTCTAAAAACAGAGCCAAAGCGAGTTGAAACAAAGCGATAATGATATACGGCTCACAAGAAGGAAAAGCATTGACGCGGTTAAGGCAGGTGTTTATGTGGAGACACATTAACAGACAGTGACAGCAGCAGGCTGCTGTTTGGACTCAGCTGTGATGGAAGGACAAAGCTGCGGCCCGTGGTTCATCGGCAGAGACGTTACTGGGCCAATTCTGTCGGAGGTGGCGTGATGACTTCTCACCTGACACTGGGCCGCTTTGACAGGCTGCAGCACCATAGCTGAAGTGTTCTGAAGACCTCGTGTACACGCGCCATCAGTTTCATGTTCTCTCAAGGACCTGCCTCATGTAGAGTGGGTCTCCGCGGCTTACAAAATCACCAAACATTTCGGCTAAATGGCTGATCACATTGTTGGGAATAACATAGCCTCAAAAAGGGGGCACCAATATGTTGGGAACGTAAAGGAGCGTGTTTGGGTTATCAGCATCTAAGAAACTAAATTCTTGACATCAATAGAATTATTAATGTCAGTAACAATTATTAATGATTATTAATAATAACGGGGCACCACCCTGCAAACAGGGACCAACAACCAAACGATAAAACTAAGTCTCATAATTAGTGTTCACTCGCAATGTCAACAGTCTGAGTACTATTACACATTCAGAGTGAAAGTGAAGGTTTAAGTTCGAGCACAGACCACATATACAGCTATCATCACAATACACATGCACAAAGTAATCACAGAGAGCTGCTCTTTAAAATATAACAGAGTGTATTACGTTCTAATACTAATGATCTAGTCAACTAATATCTAAACTAACAACAACTATACATTCATGAGCATGCTATCTAAATCAACAGATTGCTCTCTCAGCCAGGGGAGCAAGAACCGCGACTCTTTGTCTCAGCCGGCGGTTCTGACCTCCTGAACTGATGAGAAGCAACTTCGACCTCACTGCGGCTGTCTCGACACGAATCACAGTAGCATAGAATACACGCTAACTTCTACACAACACTAGCAATTTCAGGGATCGCCAGTGTCGGTGATCATAAAGCATACACCACGTTATAAAAATGACAGTACTTTAAGCACACAAACAAGATAAAATAAACACAAATTAACTCTCTCTAACTCTGCCCAGAATCTATTTCGCCTTACGGTACGATGCAATCGTGGTGATTGAGGGGGGGGTTCTTCTGAGCTTCGTTGGGCC